TAGCAGGGTGTTGAGGGTGTTTTTTTGGCATCATTGAAGACCGGTGGCGGTGGTGGTGGTGATATTTTGTGCTGCCGTCACGGTGCAGAACGTCGTGAGGTAGCTCAGCCCAGTGCTTACCTCTATGCATTGTCTTGACATGAAAGCCGGTGTTTGGCCCTAGGTTCCGTTTCGGCGTCAACTTTTTTTTTCCACCGCGGACAAAACAGAGGCAGAAGTGTAGCAAAAGGCAGCAGTGTACTTCTGTAGACGCAACAGCTATGTCCACCTATAGAGCATGCTGGCAGCCCGCAACAGGGTGGTGGCCACAGAGGGTGACGGGTGGTCACGCTGCGGCCGGTAGGGCAGGTACCCTTGAAATGATGAATCATCTAGCTGTCTCAACTACTGTTAGGGGTGTTAAAGCGGCGGAATTTGGGGCCAAAAACACGTCCGGTCCATTCGGCAAAATTTGAGGGGGGCACGCGGATTTGGTTCGTTTTTTTTGGTTCTTGAGAATCCCGCTGTTAATACTGAACAAACTATACATCAAGTCAATTTGTTCGTACAGGCAGCTCTGCGTCCAGACAGCAGCATGGCTCTTCATGCGTTACACACACCTGGACACAGGTCCAATAGAGGTAACTGTAAGCTCGGTTTTCTCTTGAAGTTAAACGGCGGACGAACAACACCAAAAAACATGTTTTTTTGGGCTCTTTGCTCCACGCCCAAGGCGACCGTTGCTCCTCTCGACAAAGCGAGCTTACATCCCTCTACCTTGGGTTTACAGCTATACTACACAACAAACCGCATCCGAATCGCATCAGCCAACCACGAGATCTACTTGTCTGAAAACGGCCCCTCCAGGGGGGCTGCAGTGCCCACACCAGCAGACCCTCCCAAAAAAAACATCGAGGTCCTCGCCGTTCGGCAGCAGGAGGCGCGCTGCGCGAAAGCTGAATCAACACAAAGCGAAGTTTGAAGAGAGGACGGGGCAGTGTATGGTTGCCACGTCAGCAGAAGATACCACGCGGCGCGCTATCGAACGCGGCAGCCTCACCGTCGTAGAGAGAACGCTGGAGGAAACGAAGGNTGCAATTTCATTGGTTGGTCGATTTTCCATCAGCAAGATCCGAGGACGCTTTTTCGAATTTTTTCCTGTAGGAATTTTCCGCTTTGACACCCCTAACTGCATATTCAGTTTATTCCGATACTGATCAATTAAACATCAGTGAAGGGCCATAAGCGGGTACTTTCGTACTTCTTTCTCTGCGCGTCCCCCCCCCCTCATGTGAGCCCTGCCGGCTCACTAGAGCTCCTGTTTTTTCCCAGAAGCACATAAGCACACCAGCACACATATACGTATCGGCTTCCTAGGTTCGGGCGAGGGTTATGTGTGGAGCGATGATGTGCATGTGCATGTCCTGTAGGAGAAAGCGAGCGTTTCACGTCTAGCGACGGGGGGATTGATACGCACGACCAAACCACGGCATGAGTGTAGGCTCCGTTGGCTTGTGTGTGAAGCGTTGCTAGTTTTGGACGGCATGCTCTCTCGTTGATGTGCGTGTTTGGCAGGCATCGCGGACCTCAACTCAACGCTGTCCTCCTTCTCACTTTCCCAGTCCGCGCCATGTCGCAGCCCTCAAGTCTCTTTTGTCCGGGTGCAACCCTTTCGATTGCGCGTCCAAATGGAAGCTTTGTTTACGTGCTGCATATCCGTATTTTGTTTGGCCTCTAGGCGGAAATAAACTGTCCACATGAAATCGGCAAAGGATACCCTGGACTTTGCATCGTTACAACGAGGGATGTGCGATGGGAACATAATACCATTGTCCTTCTCTCGGTTACGTACGAATTGATTTCACTGAATATGGTAATCGGAACCCGCAGCCTGCCATACTAGTATGTACGGTGATTGTTTCGGCCCCTTATTCATATCTTTCTATCGCTACCCCTCTGAGCCCGCCTGTCTACTCCCCCCGCCCCCGCCGAACCAATAGCATGAAGGACAGGGACGCGGAGATCGTGCGCATGTGCCACGAGCAGCAGGCCTCCCAAGGCGGCATCTCGGCGCTGGCCGCCGCCGCCGCCGCCACCGCCAACGTAGCCAACAACAACGCGCCCGCGGGCACCGCCGCCGGCCGCGGAGGAGTTACGCAGTCGCCCGCGGCAGCGGCGGACGCCCCGCCGGTCGCGAGGGCGAGCGGCGGCGGCGGCGGCGGCGGCACGGTCACGATATCCCGGGGAGAGCTGGCGGGCCAGGCGGTGCTGGCCCGCTTGGCACGGCTGGAGGCCGAGGAAAGGGCGACGGTGCTGGGCGAAGGCCTTAGCGGCGGCAGCGGCGGCGGCCGTGCCGGCGGCGGCGGCAGTGGGCCGCTTGCCGGGCAGCAGCAGACGCTGACCGCGCAGCAGCTGCAGGTGCAGATCCGGCGTTACCAGCAGGCGTTGCTTGCGGTCGGCGGCGGTGGGGGCGGCAGGGGCGGCGGCGGTGGAGCCAGGGGCGGCGGCGGCGGCGGCGGCGGCGGCGGCGGCAGAGGAGGGTCGCGCCACTGCGTCCAGGTAGCTCAATAGAGTAGTTTGCTTGTTGTATTAACGAAGGCGATTTCGGAGTGTGATGGTCCGCCGAGCGGCGGGGGGTGCTCCTTCTACACCCTGGCGATGACGCACGCAGGCCAGGAGGTTGGAGGTGGGTCCATCCATGTTTCGGGGCTTGTGTCGTGGGCGAATGTTCGATCAAGAGTGGAGTGCCGCCCCTAAGGAGCGGCCGGCCGGCCGGCCAGCCGGCCTCCCACGGTCGCGTCTCACACCAAGAAGAACGAAATTCTTCTCCGA